AAATAAATAATTTTTTATAAAACCCACTGTAGTGACAAGTGCTCAAAAGAAATAAATGAGGTGCCCCGGTACTGCATAATGTTGTCCTTTATGGGCCCTCAGAGGAGGTGACGTTAGACCTGCAGACTGATTCGGGACCCCAGCCAGCATGGACATGAGGGCCAGCATTCCAGCAGACAGCCCCGGCGAAGGCCCCGGGATGGAAAGTTCATCTATAGCATATGCTGTGAGATAGCCAAGGGTATGGGAGGCCGCTGTGGGGACAGCAGAGCGGGACCGTGCGCTGGTTGAAACTGAAAGCAGGCAAGGGACAGAGTCCAGATGATAGCAAGAAGGTTAGCTCCCAATCCAAGAGCAGCGGAAACCCTAGAAAGGTCTTTCAGCCAGGGGATGGTGGCCGCTTCGTGCCTTAGAAGCCACTCTGCCGCTCTTTGGGAAGCAGACGTCAGAAGGGGCAGAGTGGAAGCGCAGCTCTCGCAGTAGTTCAGGTCGATGGGGATGCTGTTTGGAACAGTGCTGGTGGCAGTGCAGAGGGAGAGGTGGGTGATGCAAGATAGCTTCTAGAAATAAGAGGACTTGGAGCCATCTGATAGGGAAGGAAGAAGACAGGGAGAAAGTGAGGATGCCTTAGGGGAGTTTGAGGAGTAAGCCCTGGTGCTGCCATTTACTGAATTGGAAAATGAGCTTTATGAGGGGCAAATAGGATTTGGCTTTGGAAGTTCACGTGCGTGTGAGCCCTCCCTATGGAGGCATCAGGTGAGGACTGGATATGTAATTATGTTGCCCAAGGGGGAGGCCAGAACTGAAGAGAGAAACTGAGCTGTCGGCAGCAGAGACCGGGCAGGGCAGAAGTAAAGGAGAGGGCCCTGAGTTTGGGTGAGAAAGAAGACACTGGCACTGAGCCAGCAGTCAGGTGCCCTAGGAGGTAAGAGGACAACCACGAGAGCAAGGGAGCACAGGAGGTGAGGCAGCAAGACCCTTGGAGAAGGACGGCTTAGTCGACCTGTCTCTGCTGCTGAGGAGGCCAGTGAGGCGAACGCAAGCCATGTCCTGGGTCCCCTGGATTTGGCAGCCAGGAGGTTCCTGGTGACTGTGACAGGCAGTTGCAGAGAGGAGGGGGCAGAAGCCAGGCTGCAGTGGGTTTAGGTGAGATGGGGGAAGACCACGTGTGCAACCATCAGATGAAACGTGTGTGAGAGATGTCTGAGAGGATCTGCTCAGAGGGAATGCAGGGAGCCCTAGCTGAGTGACTGGTGGAGTGAGAAGTGGGCGTCAGGAAATAGGTTTTGGGGTTTCTGTTTGTTTTGTATGAAGAAAGCTGCATATGTTTGTTTCAGAAGGAATGCTGAAAAAGAGATGAATGACCAGTGTGGGAGAGCAGGGATGACTAAAAGATTGATGTTCCCGAGAGAGGTTAAAGTCTGGGCCAGGCGGTCAGGGGCCTATAATTCTGGACGTAACTATCAGGTGAGGTCAAAACGAGAGGCAGTTCTACAAAGCTCCTGAAAAACAACGTTAAAAGGAGGTGCACATCTCCCACAAACTCTGTACCTTGTCCTTGCCCCAGCCGTGGTTGTGAGCTGCATTCTGTGGTATAGGTTAGATGTACAATGGGACTTTGAGGGTTCATAGAAAAATGAAATTAAAAGATTATTTTGGTGCAGAGTATTTTTAAACGTACGCATGCAAGTGGTCTTCTTGAAGCTCATGGAAAATGCATATTATGAAAGAACTATACATGGATTTCAGAATATTTTTCCACCAAAATAAACTTAGATTTTAATTCTATGTTCCATAGAACTTTGAAGAAGACTCTTTTTTTTTTTTTTAAGATTTATTTATTTATTTGAAAGAGTTACACAGAGAGAGGTGAGGCAGAAAGAGAGGCCTTCCATCTGCTGGTTCACTCCCCAAATGGCCGCAACGGTGGGAGCTGTGCCAATTTGAAGCCAGGAGCTTCTTCTGGGTCTCCCACACAGGTGCAGGGGCCTAAGGACTTGGGCCATCTTCTGCTTTCCCAGGCCATATCAGAGAGCTGCATCAGAAGTGGAACAGCTGGATCTCGAACCAGCATCCATATGGGATGCTGGCACTTCAGGCCAGGGCGTTAACCCGCTGCGCCACGGTGCCAGCCCCTGGAGAAGACTTTTTTGTGTTTAGTTAGTTTGGAGGACCCACCGATAGAGGCTGACTTTGCACATCCCTGAAGGACGAGCAGAGGTTGGCAAGAGGGGCGGAGACACTGCTAAAGGGGACAAGTCAGCTGGGTAGGCTGGGAATTGGATGCAGAAAGCTCTCCTCCTGGGGTGGGAGCTTTGCCGTGGAGCGAGTCATGGGGAAGTGGAGGTCATGCCTCCAGAGACTGGGTGAGGGCTCTTACTCCCAAGCAGAGGAGATAGGACGAATCTGATGGGAGCTGCGTGTGCCCTTAAGTGAGCAGGGTGATGTAAACTAGGCTGTGGCTGGGGGAGCATTGTAGTCACATTGTGGGTGACCAGACAGGAGGCTGTGCTGTGTTACGAGTCAGGATGTGATCCCATAACCCAGGCCTGAGGTTCTGAGGCCTTGGCCCACGATGGCTGCAGAGGAAGTGGAAAGGAAGGGACAAATGTGAGGCCTGCTTGGAGGAAAGGCTTGATGGATAAAAGCAGGAAGGAAAACGGAGAAGTGGAAGATGACTTTGAAGTTCCTAGGTTGAGAGTCTGGTGATGTCTGGAATAATGGGGATTTCTTGAGATTCAGAGAAATATAGCTTGTCAAAAAGGAACTTAAAAATAGGGGGCTATGTGTGGGCATTTAGCCTAGTGGTTAAGATACTGGTTCTAAGAGGCTCACATCTGGGGCTGGCATTGTGGCACAGTGGTTAAGCTGCCGCCTGTGACACCAAATCCCGTATTGGAGGGACTCCTGCCACCCACGTGGGAGACCCAGTTGGAGTTCCTGGCTTCTGTTTTTGACCTGGTCCAGCCCTGGTTATTGTGGCCATTTGAGGAGTGAACAGATGGAAGGTCTTGGTCAGTCTCTCTCTCTTTCTCTCTTTCTCTCTCTCTTTTTCCCCCCTCTTTCTCATTCTCACTCTGCCTTTCAAATAAATAAAAGTCAATCATAAAAAAATAAAAAAGGCCTGCACCCCACATCAGAGAACCTAGGTTCGATTCCCAACTCTGGCTTCCAATTCCAGCCTCCTGCTAGTGTGGACTTTGGGAAGCAGCATTGATGGCTTAAGTACTTGGGTCCCTGCCATCCACCTGGGAGACCATGATTGAGTTCCCAGCTCTGGGCCACTGCCTGGCCATCACAGACATTTGGGGAGGATGAGTGTTCTCTCTTTTTCTCTCTCCCTGTCTGCCTCTCAAATAAAAATAAAGTAAATAAATAAGCTACAAAAGAAATAGGGAACAGCATTTTTGCAGCAGTGTTGGGAAGTCAGTGGTGGAGAAGGTTAGCAGTTGCTCTGTGGGAAGGCATCATTTCCCTCACCATCAGCACGCATGACATGTGGAGCTGCAGAGGGGGTGAGCTGTTCCCTCTTCCAAGGGTGTGGGTGGAGCAAGGGGAGGTGACAACCGATGATCTTGAACCTGGTGTAGAATTGAGTCCTTGGCTCAGTACTGAGGGAACGACAGTTCCAAATGTCTCCTTTTCTTGGCATGGATATAATTTTTCTGTTTTATTGTTTTAATATGTTTTTGCTGTGAAATCTTGGAAAATGAATTTATTCAGTCCAGCAAAAAGCTCAGGTTTAGCAGATTACATTTTAATTAATAATTATTTTTTGTTCAAAGAGAGAGGGAAAGAGATCTTCTGTCTGTTGGTTTACTCACCCAAATTACTGCAAGAGCCAGGACTGGGCCCAGCTGAAATCACGAGTATAGAGCTCCATCCAGATCTCCCACATGGATCGCAGGGACCAGGGTACATGGATCATCTTCCACTGCCTTCCCTGGTGCATTAGCAGGAATCTGGATCGGAAGTGGAGCAGCCGGGACTCAGACCTGCACTCCCTCCCTCAGACCCACACTCCCTCCCGTATGCGATGCTGGTGTCACAGTAGTGGCTTAGCTGGCTGTTCAACACAACGTAGGCCCCTGTGTTTTAATTTAAAAGCCTCCCTAGAAAAAGTAAATCCAGCATTTTGTCTTCTCATTTTGTTGTGTTTTAATGGTTGTAAGTGATTGGAAAGGAGAATTTGAGCTTTGCTTTGCAGGTGAAAGATGTGATTATTTCCTATCTGTATCTCTCTGTCTTGGGATTTTAACTATCCCCCCTCCCCACACCCCATGCGCCTTCCTCAGGAGCCCTCTCCACAAATCACTTGCTTCTTTTGGGGTTACTCTTCCACATGTATGGGGGCTTTGGGGCAGAAAAACTCTTCCCAGGAAGGTGCCGGCCCTCTCTCATGCCGTCACAGATACCTCCCTGCCACAGTCTGTCAGCCCTGTCTCCATGCTGCCTCAGTCCTAGGATTCAGGGTCGTGTCTGTGGAAGGAAGAGATTATGACAGCACCCGGAGCAAGGAGGGAGACCCAGATTTCAGCTCTTGCCCTTGAGCTGTGAATTGTCTGCAGACACCATCTGCAGTCACTATTAGAAACCCACCTTCGGTTGGAGAGCAGTGTTACCAGGTAGTCATTTTGGGGGACCTTTCACTCACCCCAGCTCTGACAAGAATAACCTTAGGATGACGACAGAGCAGTCTCCACTGCCGTAGTGTTGCTGGCACATCCAGAGGCTGTCTTTTCTCCGGAGAGTACACAAGCGCACATTCTGTGAGTACGTACACGCGTGCGTGCGCACAACCCAGACACCTGAGCACTGGCACTCTTCCCAGGGGACAGAAGTCCCAGCCATGTGCTTCAGGACCAGCCGTGCCTTCTCTACAGTTTGGGGAGTGTGACAGCTGGTCCAGTGAGATGTGGCTTCCGTTGACGTACTCCCCACTCCGAGAGGCTGTGTTGCCCTACAGGGTTTCTGAAGACTCGTCTTTTCTCTTCTTCCAGAGGGCCAGTTGAGAGTGGACGCCAATGTGTCTGTGCACCACCCCGGGGAGCCTTTGGGCGTTCGGACCGAAGTGAAGAATCTAAACAGCATCAGGTTCTTGGCCAAGGCCATAGGTGAATGTCAGCCATTACTATCTGATAGACTTCCCTGTAGCAGTTACCCCTTGCTGTGTAACAAGCCACTCCCGACTTCTCATTGTCGTGGCTCTGGGGACTGGGAGGAGGTTCTTCTGCTGGTCCCACGTCAGGCACGCACTCACGAGGCTGTAGGAAACTGGCAGGGCAGGCGAAGCAAAGGTCTGCCACGGCCGTGGCGCTGGGGTCTTCATGCTGGAAGTCTGCTAGGCTTCTCTGCCCCTGTGGTCTTCAGTCGCTGCCAAACCTGGGCTTCCTGTTTGACAGCGGGAACGTTTTAGGAGGGTAAGGCAGAAGCCGCAAAGCCCCACACCATGTCATTTTCCACCATGTGAGACTCAAAGCCACTTGAATTCCAAGTGGAGTCAAGGAGAGGGGAAACAGAGTTCGCCTCTTTACAGGAACATCTGCACAGTACAGCGACTGTGTCTTGTCATGTACAGCGCTGTTTTCCTGGCTAGCCTGAATTCTCTGAGGTCATGTTCATTCATTTTAGATTGGTGTGGCTTGACCAAATTGGTGACTATGTTGTGGGTTTTTATTTGCTTTCCTGTTTCTAACATAGATTGTGTGTGCCTGTCCAGTCAAGTATTGGTCTTACTGGTGCACATGCCATGGGTACTTCTTTGATGACAGAAGTACAATAATAATAAAAATAAAACAGCTGAGCAAGACAGACATCCAGGGTTGTCCCATAGAAATGTGAATCTGAGAGAGCATCTTAGAAGACCAAAAATATATTTTAAAGCCAAAGCTATCTGGATCGGAGGGAGGGAGGGGATTGAAAGTATACCCCATGAAAAGTGTGCAGGCAACGAGACAGCTGAGTGTAGTTCCAAAATGAGGCTGTAGCCAGATGTTTACTAGACTCTTGGGTCTTGTCAAAAAAAAAAAAAAAGTGTTAGAAACAATGCAGAAAAGACAACTCTAGTGTAGGATAAAACCTTAGCAACTGAAGCAGTCTCGGTGAGGGCATTCAGGCTCTAATTTTCAGGAAGAAGGCATTGAAATGGTGAAGGGAGAAAAGTATGGGGTGGGGAAGGTAGAGGAAGTTCCTATGTGAAGAGACTGAAGAGGATGAGGCTGGTCTCTGAAAGGAGACACGTGCAGTGTTTCTCAAATCATGGAAGGTTTGGGTAAAGGGGAGGCTTGGAACAAACAGAACACAGTCCCATGCTCCCCCTGGTCGGTGGGAGGAGACCTATTACTCTAAGACATGGTGATGGAAAGCTAAGAAAACAAGCAACAGCTGTGCTTTAGGTAAATTCCTCCAGAATGAGTTACAAAGGCCCCTGGCTTATGGTTGGCTCTGCCTAACCTCCTCATTCTGTGAGGGGCCCTCTGGAACCACAGGCTGAGAATCCCACCTGTAGTCAGAAGAGACCAGAAGAACCAAAGTTTTCCTGTCACAGACTTGGTTCTCATCCCGTCATGTTTTCATCGCGTTTTTCTCCTGATGTGGGGCCCTTCTGCCATCGTGAGGAAGATGAGTAAAAATAGCCCCGTTCTGGGGTTGCTGCTCCCTGGCAGCTCAGAGAAGGGGTTTGGATTTGGGCTAGGCTGGCGAGTTAGGGGCGGCGCAGGCTGGTCACGTGAGCCTAGCAGTGGCGGCTACATTTTGACTCCCACAGCCTGCCCTTTTGGTGGTGAGGAGGAAGCATGGCATGGTTCTTAACTGCGTTGGATCACAAATCTATTTGAAAATAGAATGGAAATTCTGGACCCTCTCTCCACAGACACACACCCATATTTTGTAAATAATTTCAGGGGATATGATCATTGGAAACATCTGTGGATCCTAAATGAGAACGTTTTACGGGTACCAACCCTAGTTCTGAGTCACTAGACTGGGATATTGGACCTAGGCCTGCTCCTACCTGGGTTGCTTAATCTCTCTGAACCTGAGTCTTCTCCAAAAATGAGGAGTGGGACCTCTGTAGCCCTTTCCAGCACCAGTTTTCTGTGATGGCAGTGAGGGGAAAATACAGCCCAGGAAGCCAGGATTATTATGTGCTGATTAGTTTTTTACTTGAAGATTGAAAAAGGTTTCTAATTATTGCTTGAGTGGATGAAAGGTATAATCAAAACATGATGCTAAGTAAATTGTGCTTTTCATAGACTATGAAATCCAGCGGCAAATCAGTGAGCTTGAGAATGGAGGTGAAATTCTGAATGAGACTCGCTCGTTTGATTACAAGCTGGGGTGAGTTTGCATCCATTAAGTTGGGGCCCGAGGGTCTGGGCTCAGCTACACACCAGCCTGGTAGCCTTGAAGCAAACACTTAGCTTCTCTCATTTCAGCTTCCTCACTACCAGGATATGACATGCCCTGTCGAGTGTTAAGGGTTTACTTTTTCCCAGGCTTGTAATAAATGCTTTGTCTTGGGTCCTGGCCCTTTCCCTTGCTTCTGGTTCACCTGCTTCGTGGCAGAATCTTAACTTCCTCAAATAATCTCTCAGATCTCTACCAGCTTAAGCTAGAGGTCGAAGACAGCAAAGACCTGGCTATGGAGATGCCTTTGTTGTTTAGCTAACTTTGATCCTAATTTTCCTGACTCTGAATTGTAAGGATTTTATATTCTACGCAGAATACTGAAAAAAACTCAAAAGTGTAGAGTTTGAAAAGGTGGCTAGAAGCCTGAAAGCACTGATGCAGTTTCTTTTCTTTTTAATTACCACTCTGTCCTTTATTTCTGTTTTTTTATTTCTGTTTATTTCTCTGTCCTTTATTACTCTTTTTAAAAGGAGTCACGTAAGTGTCTCCTGTGGAAGCCTGATGAACTTGAGTTTGCCCGTGTCCCTTACTAGAAGGGGAAACCTGCTCTGCATCTAGGTAGGTCAGTGCTGTGTGCAGTGTGCGTCTCACATCTTCTTTCCCTGTTGCAGGTGCACTGTGCCAATGAGAGACAAAGAAGGAAAACAAGACTACAGGTAATTGCTGCTCGTGTCAAAATGCCGCAACATATGTGGAGTTAGGGGCGTGTTTCTCATCCGGTTAAAGATCAACTTAATGATCCTGGACAGGGGCCGCTTGCGGTGGTGCTGTTCCAGGATGGAAAGCGAAGGCTTTCTATTTTTTGTGTCCTTGAGAGAACTATTTTCTTGATAAACTGGCATCTGGGTGCCTCGTGTGGTGGCATGCAGCTGTTGGAAAACACGTGCTCACTCTTCGTGTCAAAGTTGTTAGCGTTGAGCTGAGAGAATGGCAGTTGGGGTTGGGTTGGAGGCTGCTGTACTTACAATCAATGACAGATGCACTGCTGTCTTGAAAGTAGACACGTTCTCAGAAATGCCCGTGGTAGTTCCTTTCAGACCCCAAAAGCTGCTGTTTCATTGATAAACGAAGCTTACTATGAGGGGCACAGCTACAGCCACCAGCGAGGATAGGCCTCAGATAAATCGGGCCTTTTATTTTTTCCCACTGAGTTGAGCAGTTTGCAAAGATCGAAGTTTCTTAAGCAGCACAGTTGTTGAGTAGAACCCACTTTGCCTGATGAAGTGTAGGAAGGCAGATGCGTAGCTCTTGCTGTCAGTGAGGACCAAACAGAGCACTGTGCTTTGGGAGAGAAGAGACTCATTTAAGTCCCTAGAGTGAAGTTCACCAAGAACTCCTGCCCTGCGTCTGTCAGAGTGACGACTTCCATTCCTGTGATCGGAACCCCCTTGGTTTTCACGGCTGCTCCCTCCCTGTCGCTGCTGCACTCTGAGCGTGGAGTGTGGCTTTGAACTCAGCCAGAAGCTCCAGCGCAGCCCCGCCCGTGCGTGGACGTGAGTTGCAGGACGCCTCCCTCTGGCTCCCTCTTGCCTTCAGAAGGCAGGCTGATTCATAGCAGAGACTCGGCATTGAGGTGATGGATTGCTCACACCTCTGATCTATTACCTTCCAGCTGCCATTCGTTGTGCATTATTCTGCATTTACATAAGTTCTTTGTCAAATGTGGGCAAAAAGAAAACGCTAGCGCTGGAATGGAGCAGAGGGAGGGGACATCTTTGTTTCATAGGATTATATGCGGTGGTCTAGCGGCCACGCGGCCACATTGTATAACAATTCAGTGTTTTTAAGGGCAGTTGCAGGTTGACCAAAACTCAGCGCAAAGTACAGAGCATTCTCATATGCTCCCTTCTCCGCCCCGCCCCTCCCAGGTTCTGTTATTAACGTTGTATGTTAGAGTGGTAGGTGGTTTGCTACAATGATGAACCAGCACTAGCTCCTTAACTAAAGCCCACAGTGTGCATCAGGCTCCAGTCTCTGGGATCTGACATGGCTGTGATGGCTGTAACGCCGCACCCACCGGCACGGTGCCATACCTGCCGGTTCACTGCCCTAAAAAAAAGCCCTGCGCTCCACCTGTGCACCCCTCCTCCCGCCCCACCACCTTCCACACTGAGGCAAAAGCCATTCATTTCTTGCACTTCTTCAAAAAGGAAAGTTGCCGCCCCCCCCCCCTTTTAACTTTTCTTTTACTGCGCAAGTACTGCTAAGAGCCAGTGGAAATTAAGAATGGAGGACTGGGCTCTCTTTCCAAAGTACAGCGTTCTTGTTTGGTTCTGTTGTTTCCGGTCATTGCAAATATATCCTCCACCCACAGTCGTAAACAGAAGTGTGGCTTCCGTGCCAGGTCCTGCTCGTTCCACTCATCATTATGTAAGCAGGGAGGGGGCAGTGTGGCGGCTTGGACACTTGCGTGGAGACTGTCCTGGGAGACAGAATTGATCCTGCAGGACATGAGAAAGTAACGTGGCATCTAAGCACGGAAGCATTCGGATTCCAGGTAGATTGGTTTTTCCCTCGTGAAACCAAGGACTCCAGCTTCAGGCCCCATCTCCTCTCTCGGCCCAGGTTTATGCCAGAACCCAACCTGCCTCCCCTGCTGCTCTACGACTCCACGTCTCTGCCTGCAGGCGCCGACCCCCAGCAAGTGATCGATATCGACCGGATCCGGGAGACGCTCCCCGAGCTCCCGAGCGAGACGCGGGCGCGGCTGGTTCAGCAGTACGGGATGCTGCCTGAGCACAGCTTCACTCTGCTGGTACGCACTGATGGGCTCCAACAAACCCGGCTCGGCAGACAGCGGGCCGCCGTGGCCTGGAGTGGAGTGGGCAGGGCGCCGCGGCTCTACTCCAGGTGCCTCTGGGAAGAATGGGCGTTGGAACCCTTGCTCCCTACCCCCTATGCCGGGTGTGCTCCTGGTAAAACCAGAAGAGGAAGCAGAATCTGGCATTCATGATTTCTTGGGCGTGGAAATGAACAGCCGCTCACAGCAGCTGCACAGACGCTGTGAGGCAAGGATCCCCACAGAACCTCAGTGTTGGACCACAGCAGGGGCGGGCGGGAGGCGGGGGTCTCAAAACCTGCCAGTGGTTTTGCCGCCCGTGGGAGGAAACTTTTATTCCGCACCAAGTGCTGAGAACCCTGACTGGGAGCCTCTGCCCTTGGAGGCTGGCCGAAGCGTCTGAAGGAGCTGGTAGACAACCAGACAGCGTTCAGCGCTGCTTGGGGAGTTTCCATCCGCTTCAGAGCTGCTTGGGGCTTTGCGGTTTTCTTTGTCAGGCAGCGTGGAGTGCTGCGGCGTCAGCGAGGGAAGCGTTTTGTCACAGTTGTCTTCTCCTGTCTGAGAGGGAGGAAGCGGAAAGTGCTGCTCTTCTGCCTCTCGGGGCTGCCGCACTTGCCTTCTGCAGCCGCAGGCTCTGTGGGAGCTTTTTAAATGGCCAGTAATACCTCTGTAGGAGCGCGGGAATCCAACACGAGGGGACTGCAGAAGCTTCACGGAAAATGGAATTAAGAGATGTTTATTTTGGTGCAAAAAAAAAAAAAATTGGAAATCCCTGCATAGCTTTTTCATAATACACAGTTCCCAGGAACTTTTTGAAGTCCCTGTTGTATGCATGGACTTTAAAATATTTTTTGTACCAAAATAAGCTTAACACCATTTTCCGTGGACTTTTTAACATACCCTTGTATTTTTATTTATATGCTTTAACAACGGCAGCCTAGCAGTTTCTGGTACAGAATAGGCAACCAAATGTGTATTGAATGACAGATTTTTTTAACCATTTTTGAGCTTTTTAAAAAAATTTTGATTACCCTGTAGCACTTGTCCATTTTTATGGAGTACAGAGCATTATTTCAACTTGTGCATCATAGCTGATCAAACCAGGCAACTGGGCTTTCCGCCTCCTTATCTTGCCTTTGTGTTTGGAGCCTGCCAGGTGCTCTCTTCCAGTTCTTCCCACAGAACACCAGACAGCCTTGCGCGCTGTGGGTGCCCCTGTCCCCCGCTGTGGAGCACTTGAACTTGTTACTTCTGTCTCACTGAGTTGGCACCCACTGTCCAACCTCCTCCCAGCTCTCTCCCCTACCCTGCTGCGTCCCTGGTCATCACTCTTCTAGTTCAGATGGGCTTTTTTTTTTAAGCTCCACCTCTGGAGAGGACATGCCGTACCCGTGTATCTGTGTCTTGCTTATTTCATGTTACATGATGTCCCATTGCATTCGCTTTGCTGCGGGAGTGATTACTCGTCATCCTCCATAGGCAGCTGCTCGGAGAAGTGCGTATCCAGAGAGCTCACGTGAGAACTCCGCTTTCCAGTGATGGTTAGGTGTGGCCAGGTGCTGGTGCCAGGTGCGGGCTGCTGCTGCACCTTCTCCACACCTCTGTGGCCGCAGCATCCGCGGTGCAGTCATTATCTGTCAGTGAATATCGTTGAACATCGCGAGGGCAAGGGCTGTGGCATCCTCTGTGTTCCATTCTCCCTGACGAGCACGGCAGCAGTGCTGACAGCCACGTCTTGGCTCTGCGAGTCAGTCCAGGGCACTTCTGAGCCTGAAGCTTCCTTCCAGTGAGCTGTTTTCCCCAGGCTGATATCCCAGACTGAACTGTGGTCGTACACATCTCCTCCCCACCCCACCCCCACCCCAGCCCCTGTCAAGACTGCTTGGATATCCGGCCCACTTGAGCTGATTACCAAGCCTGCAGGCAGATTATACAGGTGATGGATCCGGCTGCTCAGCCTCAAAAACCTCAGGTACCCTCTCGGTGGCATGTGGCCACCTGGACAAAGGCCAGCCCTTCGGGTGGTGTGTGATGAACAGAGTTTCTTGACTGTTTCTTTACTCCAGTCTGATTTTAGAGAAGTCACTGAATGTAACATTAAAGGTTCGCTTCACGTATCGGCCTTATCCGTAAGAGAAGTCAGAGAAGGCCAGTGCCGCGGCTCACTAGACTAATCCTCCGCCTAGCGGCGCCGGCACACCGGGTTCTAGTCCCGGTCGGGGCGCCGGATTCTGTCCCGGTTGCCCCTCTTCCAGGCCAGCTCTCTGCTATGGCCAGGGAGTGCAGTGGAGGATGGCCCAGGTGCTTGGGCCCTGCACCCCATGGGAGACCAGGAAAAGCACCTGGCTCCTGGCTCCTGCCATCGGATCAGCGTGGTGCGCTGGCTGCAGCGCGCCGGCCGCAATGGCCATTGGAGGGTGAACCAACGGCAAAGGAAGACCTTTCTCTCTGTCCCTCTCTCTCACTGTCCACTCTGCCTGTCAAAAATTTAAAAAAAAAAAAAAAAAAAGAGAAGTCAGAGAACCCTCAGACTCACCTCTTGGCACAGCCGTTTCTGCTCCAGGCTGCAGAGGGCAGCTGTGCGGGGTTGTTGCATTCCGCCTTGACGTGTGAGGGCGGACATGTTTACATTTGTGTTTGTGTCCGTCCTCATTCCTGGCTCCTTCACGGTGCCACACCGAGGTAGACCCTGTGTTAGCATTTGGTAGGGGTGGCGAACGAGTAAGTGTGTGATTTCTCAGTTAAAGGCCCTGTTCAGGGAAACCCACTTTCGTTAGCATCTTTAGTAGCAGGTAGAGACAAGAACAAAGATACTTTAAAAGGTGTGTTTTTTTTTTTTTTTTTTTTTTTTGGGCTTCCCAGGAGTTTTTTGGGTGCCCTTCAAAAAAGTTCATGGAGAAATGAAGTTAGAAGTTCTTTTGGTACAAAATAATTTTGAAATCTATGTATAGTGTTTTCATACTATGCATTTTCCCATGAGCTTTTTAAAGACCGCTTGTATGTGGAGAGGCCCCTACAGGTAACCAAGCCCCCGGCAGGTCATTCTAGAGATGCGTAGTGTACGATGGGAACCCAGAGCAGGTTGTAAGTAACTCGGTTGGGACAAAAAGGGGAAGCTTCAAGAAGGAAGCTGTTTCTTAGCTGTTTTTTTAAAGGACTTATCTTTTGATACCTCATAAACCTTATTTTTATCACTTGCAGATAATGTATTAGCTCATTAGTGCTTTGTTTTTCAAAGGGGCTAGTACTTGACATGTCCAGGATAAGAATAAGACAAGAGAGGACTGGCAAGAGAATGACTCAGACAAATTATTTTCCTGAAATGAGGCAGCCTGAGCCCTTTATGACTTTGTAATCATTGGAAGCTGAGTTACTCATAACACAACCAAAAATGATATGGTCGTGGTTTTTTCCTGCCTTCATCAGAAACACAACAGATTGCTGAGAAGGGCAGATGCACAAATCTAATGAACCATCTTTCAATTTAAAGAGTGCCCAGGAGTATTCATTAAATAAATAGCAGTGGTGGAGGTGTGCTTCACAGAGCTTCAGCTCCATGCTGCAAGCCTTAGGAAAGCTTATTAAATTAAGCATCATGCACATGCCCCCCCCCCCCCACACACACACCTAACACACACATACTGAGAAGCTTCAGAATTTAACCCTAGTCTGGAATTTATCTTGGCATTTTATTGTTCAGTAGCCACTGGATTATGTATGTTTTAAATTTTTATTTATTTTTGTTTTTATTTGAAACAGAGACCGAGATGGATGGAGAGCGAGCTTCTATCCACTGGTTCACTCCCCAAATGGCTGCAACATACAGGGCTAGGGCAGGTTAAAGCCAGGATCCAGAACTCAGTCTGGGTCTCCCATCTTGGCAGCAGGGAGTCAAGCAGTTGAGCTGTCAGCTGCCGTCTCTCGGGGGCACAGTAGTAAGGAGCTGGATCAGAAGAGGAGCTGCGCTCCACTGGGGCTCAGGATCCCCGCATCCTGAGCAGCAGTGCTACTGCTGTACCACTTGCCCACCCTGAGCTATGTTTTTTTTGTTTGTTTTTTTTGTTTGTTTGTTTGTTTTTTTGACAGGCAGAGTGGACAGTGAGAGAGACAGAGAGAAAGATCTTCCTTTGCTGTTGGTCACTCCACAATGGCCGATGCGGCCAGTGTACTGTGCTGATCCGAAGCCAGGAGCCAGGTGCTTCTCCTGGTCTCCCATGGGGTGCAGGGCCCAAGGACTTGGGCCATCCTCCACTGCCTTCCCAGGCCAGAGCAGAGAGCTGGCCTGGAAGAGGGGCAACCGGGAAAGAATCCAGCACCCCAACTGGGACTAGAACCCGGGGTGCCGGCACCACAGGCGGAGGATTAGCCTGTTGAGCCGCGGCGCCGGCCAAGCTATGTGTTTTTAACATGACCATTGATATTGATAGCACTGCACACTCCAGGGTCTACTGTAATAGCTGGCATGCAGTAGATATTCAGCAGCTGGATGAGGGCATAAACGGGACACCATTTAGTGCCCATGAAAATCCTGGTAGAGCTCATGTCCCTGAGAAAAGCATCCCTGTTTCCAGAGGCCAGATACATAAACCGCTCTTTGACAACTCAGCAGATCGTAAGATAGTACCTGTTTTGTTGATCTCTGAACAAGAAAACCTGAAATGCCACCGCACGTACTGTGACCATATGCAAGTCATTGGTCTAACTCTTAGATTCTGAACTGGTTTCTTTGGGCATTAAATCAAATCTACTTTCTGATTTTTTTCTCCTAGGCCCTCCTGATAATGCTCTCACAAAAGAAAACTCCTGTTACTGTTTTTCCTCTGGCCATAATAAATGACTTGGCTCACCTGAAACTTCAACCTCTTTAGCTAATCTTGCTTCCTTATCTTATGTCAAATTGCCTTGCTTTCTGACTTCATTTGCAAAGATTAAGGAATAGAAATGTGGAGGCTAAGACCCAGGTATTAGGACTCTGA